GAATATGAATGCATTGGCAAAGGTGTTGTTTCTTGCCATTTATTTTACTCACAAAACTTCAATTATAAAATTTATTTATTTGAAATTTCAGCAAAATATTGGTGAAGTAACTTTACCTTGCAGATGATGAGGCAAAGACGTATTGATAGGGGGGCGTTGACACTTGCTTCTGCTGAAGTTAAATTTCAAATTGACACTGAAACTCATGACCCTCTTGATATTGGTATGTCTGGTCTTTCCTATAATTAGAGTTGAGGAAGATGCTATTATAGATTTATAGAGAGCAAAACCTTATAATGACCTGGATTACATTAAATGTAAAGCTAAGGCTTAGTTTGTATAAACAGCTAAAAATAAACATTTTTTTAAAAGATAAATGCTTTTCAATTAGTTCAAAACAGCTTTCAAGGGTTTGCCATTTTACTGCCCTTTTACAAACTATTTTCAGCTTGTTCTGATAAGTTCTTTGAAATAGCTTATGGGAATAAACCCAAAATAGCTTTTCAAAAGCCTATCCAGACAGGTCAAAAAGTAACAAAAACTGCTTGCAGATATAGATAAGCTGAAATAATAAACTCATAAAAGTTGTGCCTTAATTGTTCATTCCTTTGATATTTACTTATTTGATGCTTGAATCTTGACATCCAAAGATCTCTGTTGTTGTCGTTTTTTTTTTTTGGGTGAGACTCTCACTGAGAGGGCAAATGGCCTATATCACATGATTTATTTCCCCCTCGTTACATTCTGATTTTAAAGTCAAGCTGCCCTGTACAGATTAATATTGACTTCAACTGTATCATAGTTCATATAGATTATCAAATTATTCTTGATGATGTCTTATTCCTAACATGACTTTTAATGATATGTGGCATTAATATGCTTCATTTTGAGTAGCTTGAGTGTTTGGATGCCCTTCTGTGCACAAAAACTTGTTGCTTGTCTTCAGTATTGAATTCAGATTGAGATGCTATCTATGCAATTATACTATTATATATTGTGGTTAGGTCATTTGGTCTCCTTTAAACTAATAAACTATAAGGATAAATGAGGGGTAAGACATTCAGCTAATCTTCCCAGTGCAAAAGGAGACCTATAGAACATATGGAATTATTTCATGGATGACATGTCTCCTACACTCTCTTCAGAAGTTCAGATGCTAATAAATAAATTCTATTTGCAGGGATGTATCAAATTCGTGAAGCTAACCAAATGGTTGAAGAATTTATGCTTGCTGCTAATATTTCAGTTGCTGAAAAGATCCTGAACCATTATCCTATCTGCTCACTATTAAGGTATCTTTTTCTTTGTGTTTTTCAACTAGAATATCAATTAATTGGGTTACTTTCCCCTGGCTAGCCTTGGGTTGTTACATGCTGAGGAATAAAGTGCTCAGGCAACAACTACTGAATGAAAAGCATTGTTGAGAAAACCCCCTTCCTATTCCACACCTTGTGTCTGCAGAAAAGGAATAAATTTAATTTCACACATAAGATTTGCGATTGAATGTGATAAAGAGGATAATATAGTCTCATGGATACCAGATTGCCAATGCCACACGTCATGTGTAACTATTCCACACCTTGTGTGTCTGCAGAGAAGGAATAAAATTAATTTCACACATAAGATTTGCAATTGAATGTGATACAGAGGATAATATAGTCTCATGGATACCAGATTGCCAATGCTACATATCATGTGTAACACGTCCTTATGAACATCTCTCCAAGTGATCTGCTTCAGTGACATTTTTTTGCTAAGTGCAACCTAGTTTCTAAAAATAATCAATTTGGAGGAAAAAAACATGTCTTGCAGATTATTTCACACTATTCTAAGTTATTGGCTGGAGGAAAGCTTTAGAAGCATGCTTCTTTATGTTCTGTAGAGTTGTATGGAGTTCTATGCTATTGGATTATGGTATAACAGTATTAATCTGAAAGGTACTTCACTGTGCATATTTGTACTATTTGGCCCAGCTTAGCTTTTTGAAGTAAATAAGGTACATTGTGCTTCATAAATGGGATGCTTTTCTTATAAGGTTAGGCAATTGCTTTTGTTTAGATAATATATTAACAAGTAGTTTATGATAATTCAAGTTAAGAATAATAATTGAACTGGAACAATAGTCAATGTCGGATGGATGTGTCCTCGTTGATTTTTTTATTGCATTTGTCCAATTCCCATTGATAATTTGGCTCTGTTTGGCATACCTAGCTTATAAGGTACCTTAAAGTTGAAAGCTAAAAGCTGGTAGCTACTAGCTTATTTTGAAACACTAAGCTCGTAAGGGGGTGTTTGGCAAATAGTTGTTAGCGGATTGTGTTAGTGGGTTTGACTTGTTGATAGCATTAGCTGATTGTAGAAAGATGTTTGGTAAATTAGATGTTAGCTTATAGTTGATTACCTGCAAAATGACCTTTAATGGTATAATTTATTTTCTCAAAAAGCTTATCGAAAAAGATGCTTTGAGCAGCTTTTTTATTTTTAGCGTTTTGAAGCAATAAACTGTTACAAAAAGCTGATTAACCAAACACTCATATTGGCTGTTTAACCAAGTCAAGTAGCTAATAGTGGTCAAACAAGCTAAAATTGGTTGATAAGCTAACTATGTTACCAAACAGGGCCAAATTTATGTTTTACCAAACAGAGCTTATAGCTTATTTGTAGCTTAAAAAAAAGCTATAAGCTGTTCAAAAAAAAGAAGCTATAAGCTCTACCAAACATAGCCTTCACATCTTGCATTAATGCCTATATTTACTGCAGGCGTCATCCCAGCCCAACCAAAGAAATGCTTGAACCTCTGCTTCGAGTGGCTGCAGCTGTTGGAATATTTTTGGATACAACATCGTCAAAAGCATTAGCTGATTCTCTTGATCGTGCTGTGGTGAGTTGTCTTTTGTTGATACTTAGTGTCTTAGTCAGAAACTAACAGATAAACTCCAAGATTGATTTCTCCCATTATCTTTGCAGCACTATTGGTTTGTTGTTTTCATTGATTTGAGTTAGAACTTGTGCATCCCATTCAAATCAAGATTGTTTAAATAAGAATTCTTAGTATCAAAGCAAGATTCATATGGACTATTTGGGTTTATCTGGATTGTCTAAATTGGCAATAAACAAAGCTTTATGGAATTATTTTGTTGGGCTGTGAGGACAAACAGTGCTTCTCTGTTTGTACCTCACCTCAGCCAAAAGCTGCACCACCTATCACCAGCCTAAGAATTTGTTGGAAAGAACCTCAAATATGTTTACATTTGATTTGGAAATTTTCTCCTGAGAACATATAATGCAATCATGCCTTAACAATTTGTCTTGGCAATTCTGTTTGTCAGGGTGATGATCCATACTTTAATAAGCTGATCCGTATTTTAACGACCAGATGCATGACACAGGTACTTCCCCTTGATTAATTTTTTATATCATTTATTTTTTTTTGTGAAAATCATTAAAGTGGTGCTAGGAATGCCTAGTGCTTAAAACTTTCTTCTGTTTTGGAATTTCAGGCAGTTTATTTTTGCAGTGGAGAACTTAGTCCACCAGAATTTTGTCATTATGGTCTTGCAGCCCCACTGTATACACATTTCACCTCACCAATAAGAAGATATGCAGGTAAAGTGAAACCTCCACTCCTGCTTGGCTCCAGTTCTATCGGTAAAAGCATATGGAGTTAAATGTTTTCTGTTCCAGATGTCATTGTCCACCGACTGCTTGCTGCATCCATGGGGATTTACAAACTTCCTGATGTTTTTGGTGACAAAGCCAAGCTAACCAGTATTTCTGATAGTATGTATTCTACTGTATTATATCCAAATATATCTTCTCTTTATTATTTTAATTAGTGAACAAAATTGCATTCTATATTTTCCTCTTTGGACCGTATGCAAAACCTAACCTCTTCTTCTACTTGGTTGCATTTTCATTGTTCTTTGTGGATTATCATTGCAACTTACTTTCCTCTGTACTGTGTTTTATTGATAGTAACAGACTTGTTGGTAAACCACATACGTATCAAATTTCTTTTTGGATATGATTTTTCTGCAGCTCCCTAGATTGCTAATTTCTTTTTTTCTTTTTTTTTTTCTTGGTTGAGCTAACTAATTTCCCTGTTTGAAACAGATTTGAATTATCGGCACAGGAATGCCCAGATGGCTAGCAGGGCATCAGTAGAGCTCCATACTGTTATTTTCTTCAGAAAGAAGTATGAGGACATTCTATCAAGTCCTTATCCTGATCCTTTTCTATCACTTGTTTCTCTTCCTAATTCTTGCTTGTGTTCTTGCAGCCCCACAGATACAGAAGCTAGAATTTTGAAAATAAGGGCCAATGGCTTCATCGTTTTTGTGCCCAAGTACGACACTCTCTACTGCAACTTGATTGCATTACTTTTAACTGTTTACTTAATTGATTCTCTTTGGTTTGTTCTTAACTTTTCCCGGTCTATAACTTAAATGATAAAATGCCATTTTGAATTTATGTAAACAAATTGAGCACTTGAAATGTCTTGACTTCTATTTCACAAGACCATTTTAAACAAACCTTTAGCCATTTTTAAATCTCTGTTTACAGAGACAGCTTAATACGTTTTTCTTGATTTCATATATATATATATATATATATATATATATATATATATATATATATATATATATATATATATATATATATATATATATATATTCTATCCTATATTCTCAAGAAATTCCAGTTGCTTTGCCTCTATATATGGGTGATGTTTGGGGCATCTGTGTTTGCAGGTATGGTATTGAAGGACCTGTATACTTGACATCTAAACGCGACAAGTCAGGAGAATGGTTGATTGATGAGCAGGAACAGAGGGTCAAGAAGTTGGATGGGAGTGTTACCTACGGCATTCTTCAATCTGTGAGAATTCATTTGGAAGTGGTAGAACCTCAGCCTAACCGCCCAGTCCTCCAAATGACCCTCATCTGATCTAAGGGTTCAAACAAAATTGGGAAGACAGACAACCTTCTGCTTTTCTACCGTCGGTGATGTTCAATATAGTTAGCATATAGGCTGTGGCATGCTGTGTTGTTGTATTGTGTACAACAAGATTGATTAGAGATTAAAAAAAACATTACAAGTTAATGCCAACCCCTTTTTCTTTTGTTTTACTTGCACCTCGTTCCCTAGTCAGCCAACAAGATCGGTTCATGGGCTAGACCAGCCTGTAGCCATCTCCATATATTGTATTTATATTAAAACAAAGTTTTCTCTCAAAAAATGCTGTGTTTGTTATTTTCTATTGTAAGAAAAACACTAAAAAGTGAGCTTTTGGTACAAATTATATTAAATTTATATACAAAATTATTCGAGTGTCACTGGAGGAGAAATTAGTTTTACTCTTTTTTTTTTTTTTTGAAACCAGAAATTAGTTTTACTTAATTTGACTTTCTTTTTTAGTTGAAACAGGTTAGCAGCCATCGGCCACTGGCAAGCTTTTGGGAAAGTGCATAAGATGATCTGAAGACACAAGCAATTAGAATATTTCAAAACGGCTTTTATAATTAACTGAATGACTGAGCAATCATTTATCCTAAAACAGCAAGAATAATAACAAATACCCAATAAAAAAAAAAAATACATAAAGGAGCTACAGATCTAACATTCTTTTTTTTTTTTTTTTTTTTTTTTTGGGTGGGAATACATTTCTAATATATATATATATATATATATACTAAAAATAAAAGAAATTGGACGGTGATGAGCGAGCCATTATATTGTGGGCTATGACAAGATCCACATGAACACCGTTGACCATAAAGTGAGCGCAATTGTTGCAACCAAATACGTCCACAGGAAAAGCACCGAACACTCCTCTTGTGCTACATCAAACAGCTGCGTCATGGTCCCAATATTCATGGCCGGCGGCAAAGTGAACTGAACCATCAGCACAAAATGGAACAACGGATCCGCCGGAAGGAACCCCAAGTTAGATGCAGCCCTAACGATGCCGATTCCCACCAGCGGACTCAAGATGTACCGCACGCACACAACTGCTAGGATCACTAATGGCGAGATCTTAGCCTTGCGTAAACCTGTTAAGTGCACAACATTTTTGTTAAGGTTTTGGGCAATCATTATACCATAGACCATGGCCATTGACACAACATTTTATTTTTAATACATTGATCCAGTGCTCATTTTTAAAATTATATTTTTGTGTACTGAAAAATGAACTTTCAACATACTAAAAATAAATATTTATCTGTGGTCTATAATTTGCTGGTTTCGGGTACGTGAATCCAACTTGTAATGTTTTGAAATAAGAAATTGGACAAATTTTACCTTGAGTGAGGTTGCCACCTAGTATAAGGGTGATGCATGGGATGGTTCCATTCCTGTATGCATGAGAGACAAAAAGAACATTAGCATCCTATGTATATATTTGGAAAAATTTTACATGGACTATAATGTTATGTATTTTGTAAAATTGTACCAACTATACAAAGCATTTGCAAGTTGTACATTTTTCATAATATTCCTTACAAAGCACAAGATACAACTGTACTACACAAATTATGATTACATACCCTAATAATGTGACAGAGTCTTGGATGACTCTAAGGGGAGCACTGTCACCAATTATTAGGTTCCTCAGCCATGTTACTGCCCCAAACAGAAATCCCAAAATCTGAAATTTACAAACATTATATAAAAAATAAATAGTGTCAACTTTGTATATATGTATCCATCAATATAATGCAAAAACTCAGCAGAAATAATTGAAAAGAAAAAAGAAAGAAACTCACAGCTCCAACAGTTGGAGGTGCCATTAACTCCTCCAGAATTGTGTGCAAAACCCCAGAAAAATGGCTCAACAATGTTCCACCCTCTTTCTTCTCTACTGATCCATTAATCTGTTCATAAATTGAGCACACAATGCAATTTTCAGAAAACTATCCATCCTGTAAACTCTAACATTCAATTGTGCAGGTGAGAATATATATATGTAAAACAGATCTTAATTACATTGGGATTTTCCAGGTCATTTCCAGGTGGTAGGACACTGACAGCAAGATGATCTTGAGCTTCATTCTCAAGGAGGCCAGACTTCTCATTTGCATTTAAGTCTTTGTTTGGCTCCTTCACTATCTCTGCTGCAGCTTCTGCGGCTAGCTGTGCTTTTAGCTTCACAGATGAGTTTCTTACTAATTGGTAAGTATATGTCCATATGTAGAAACCTCCAAGCTGCACCATTTCAACCAAAATCATATCATTAATTATTAGAGCTTCTTGCAAATAGACATGTATGTTTCGGTGCAATTAAAAATCCGAATATATATAAGAGCAGAGCAAGCTAGGTAGCGCATTCTTACCGCCATGGAGAAGGAGGCATATGACATTCCAATAGTAGAGCAAACAGATTTATCACCAAAAGGGCTTCCATCCTCATTGCAGATTGCAGGAATGATGATGAGCAGAAGGTTTCCCAAATTCCCAGAAGAACATGTGGCAATGATGAGGCCTTCTAGATGTGGTTTTGGTTTCAGTACTTTTACTGCAATCCATCCCAGAATTCCTCCAAACACAAAGGTTAACCCAATATTTATGGGCATAAACCACCTGCACTCAACATATATAATAAGTCAAACCATCCATTATTTCCCAATTTCTGATCTGTGGATTCAAAACTTCATTGTTTTTCCTTATTTAAAGAACCATATATATGTATATATGCTTTAGTCCTGTACCATGAAATTATGTCTTCCAGTGTGACAGTTTTTGCCAGGTTTGCAAACATGAGCGATGGCGTAAAGGCCACAAACACTATCTGCAATGCCATACATATATTATCACCGGTATTAATCTTATAGTACTTGATACAATTATATTAGATATACCATGTAACTTGCCTGATTGTATATTGTGCAAAAGATACTAGAATTGAAAAAAAAAAAAAAAAAAAGCTTACTTTGTTAAGGGATTTTCGAGCATCAGCAGGAAGAAGCTTGAAATAGTCAGTGGCCATTACAGCTCCCAATACACTTATTATCAACACTTGCAATATTGGCATGGATGCCACTTCAAACAACGTAAAAAACCCCATTTTTCTCTTCTCCTTAGCTTTTCTTCTTGCCCAAACTTTCTCTACAATTCAACAAATATATAGAAAGAGCCTGCAAAAAGGTGGCAAATTAAAAGAAAGATTGTTTTATATCAGTCAATTCAACCTGAGAAAGACGAATAGAATTGAGTTTATAAGACGAATAAAAAGACTAATCACCAACCTGGCTGTCCAAGTTCTCATAATTTAATTGTTATATATGGTTTGGGATTTACGTACTCCTAACCTAGGAATAGCTTATCCTAATTTTATTTTATTTTATTTTTGTATAATTTTGAAAGTACGATGTAATGAAAGAGAGTCCAAATTGGATTGAGTTTTCCGCTTGTGGCCGGACTCATGACATGCCTTTAAAGTATAATTTAATTAATGTCAAAGCTTTGACCTAAAGCTACCCAAGCTAGGACGGTCGATATTTTTTGAAATATTCATGATTCTTTATAAGGTAATATATGTTTTATACTTTCTTAAACAATTTCAGTTTAAAGAATTTAAGCCTCCACCATTAGAATTCGAACCTATGACCACTCGTTTAGAATGGTAATCGGAATGGCTGACTGCTGATATTTAATTACATATACATATGATTATTTTCAAAAATTGTGATAAATGTTATGAATTAAATTATTGCAGACAATTAAGTCAATGAAATAGATATATTTGAGGGAGAATTATGGATTGGAATATTTGGGGAATTAAATTCGAAGTAGAAAAGCAACAATGATTTGACAGAAAAGGGAAGAAAATAGAATACTCCATGAAATGTGGGAGCAGAAAGTGCCTCATACTTGTCAATCTTATGTGGAGCTAACATGACGGTTGGGCCCACTCTTCCACATTTCATGTTATAATGACAATGCTCCAGAAAGTTCAAGGAAAATTCATGTTCTTATGTTGTATCTCTTATCATACATTCAAGAATATTCTTAACTTTCACAAGGCAGGGAATGCATTTTTTTCGTAAATATTTATAACTTTTGAACCCAGTTAAACTTATTATTTAACAGAAAATAAATTCATAAATTTTGTAAAAAGAATATATAAATAGTTTTGTTGTGAGTATTAGTATATAAATTTTTTAATAAATATTATATTCTTTATTTTATATTTGTAATGATATTTAAAAACTCACATTAAATTACACACACGGTAATTTTTTTATTTTATTTTTTGAATGGAGCATGGATTTGATTTTAATTTTTCAATCTTTTTTTTATTGTTCATTCCATCTCATGTTATGTGTCTAGTTCAGTTAACGAGACTTGACTAACGTTATTTTTATTCAATTTTTTATAATATTAAGTTTATTATTAGTATATAAAAATTATATAGTAAGAAATTGCATTAAAAGTACTATTAGATATGGAAAATCAAATTTTAAAATATTAAAGAAAATAAGTAAAGAATGAAAAGTTGATTTGTGTAATGAATAATAAATATAGCAAGTAAAATGAGACCTAAACTCTTTGAAATTTCCAATTCCTTAAATCACTACTAGTTTGATATTACGTGGTCGTTCATTCAAAAAATGACAATTTAAGGTTTAGTTTAGGTCCCTTTCGAGCACATTTAAGATATGTACAGAGTGTTGATGACGTGCTTCACTTTAATTATAAAAAAAAAAAAAGTAAAATAATAGAAATTATAAATGTGTATGTATATATATACATAAACATGTGCGGATCAAATATTAATATTCAACATTCTTAATGTGTACAAGTCAAATACTTTGTGTGAGTCAAATATTTAAATGATATATTCAATCTTATTTAACAAATTTAAATTAATAACGAGACTATACATTTATAATTTTATATTTTATACATATATCAGAGAAGTAAATTACATTAAAAAGATTTTGTATAACAAATTTAACAAAAAAATATTAGCAATAATCCACCTATAATATTTAAATATGAAATTTATGTTTCGTCCCCCGATTATTGCCGCCTTATTGGCACAAATATATCAATTTTTTTGGAAGAAGAATATATATCAATTTTAACGATAGATACGTACAAATATGCCAAATGAACGAAAGTTACCAGAATACCTAAAAGACGGTGTCCCCTAACAAGTTAATTGACACATCTAACGAATCATTCATTCATTTGAATTAAAATGGGAAAACAGAAATCAAATTTTTTTTTTTAAAAAAAAAAAATTGAACTAATTGATCTAAACCCATCTGAGCTAGCCAAACAACTACACCTACTATTAGGATTCGATCTGTAACCTTCCCTCAAGGTTTGCCAATAAAATTCAAGTTTATTATCTCTGGTTTTGTAAAAAATATAAGAAAACAACGAACAAATTTGCGAAAGAATTTTATGTTTTATAGCAGGAAAAGTGCAGAAGAATTGTAAGCGTAAAATACAAAACAAAAATAAAAATTGCAGAAATCAGGAATAGGAAGGCAACATTAACGAAGAACATATAGAAGATGAAGAAAAGGCGAGGAGAAACAAACCTGAAATGCAGCTAAGGAATGAAATATATCCTATCTGAGCAGCTTTAGAAGATGAAATGGGCGCCGTTGATCCTATCAGAAACCCGAAACCTGAGGAAGAAGAAGAAGAAGAGAGAGGGAGAGAGCTAAATACTGTATACAACTTTCTATATATGCTTTTAAGTACTTCCCAGTTCTGAGCCTCTGGCCAATGCCCCTCCCTTTATATTGCTTTAATTTGTCCACAGCGTGGATACATAAATATGCATCTAAAAAAAAAAAAAAAAAAAAAAAAAAAAGGCCCGTTGTACTTTAAACAGTAGATTTTCTTCATATGTTCTTATTTAATTTAAAGAATTAAAAAAATAAAAATTATCACCTATTTTTTCACTCGATATGATACCTATCGGGTCACCTAATTAATATTGGTCCGCAACAATTGTATATGTTGTGTCACATATTTTTACAATCATTATACCGTGTACTACGGCGCACATAGTATTGTGTGTCCCGTGCCTCTCAAAACGATGTCTTTTTTTAAATTGTTAAAAAAAAATCACCTGTTTTGAATGCACATAAACGCATAACAGAATACACATAATATAACGTAATACATAATACACATAAACTCTTAACATAATACACATAAACTATAACATAATATACATAAACTCATAACATAATAGACATAAACTTTTAACAGAATACACATAAACTTTTAACATAATACACATAAACTCTTAATTGAATATACAAAAACGCATAACACAATACACAAACTTTTAATTGAATACACATAATGGGGTTTGGTTAACATAATACACATAAACTCTTAACTGAATACACATAAACTCATAACATAATACACACAAACTTTTAACTGAATACACATAATAATGTTTGGTCTGTTCGGAGGACGGAGTGACGTCAGCAAAAAACGTGCATATTTTGTGACTGGACGCATATTGCTATGTGCGCCGTGGTGTACGATAAAAATTGCCATATTTTTATGTTGAATGCTTAATTGAGTATATGTGCATGTGTACACCGTGTTTACAGGGTTTCTATTTTTATAAGAGTATTAATTGTTGAAGTATTATAGTGGAGTCAATAATTTATAAATAAATTAAATATAAACAGTAGTGGGATATTCATGTATCGTATCTTTAGTTTGAATATCTACATCCATTAATCCATATACAACACCTAACACTGTAGTATATAATAGTATCATTCATCAATTGCAAATTATGTTGCGTAACCGTGTGCATCATAGTTGCAAAACGACACCATTTTATTATGATAGAGTAACGGTATCATTAGTAGCACAAGTTGACCACAATGAATATTATATATGATTATGTATGCGATGGTGTCATATAGAAAAATCCAAAAAACATGCATCCTATTGATTGGGGGTGCAGATCAGAGCAATGAGTAGGAGAGTGACGTTTGTGCTGTCCTGAATGGAGGGAAAGGTGAACGTGAAGAGGTGAGGTTAGGTATATATATATCATATATATATATATATATATGAACCTCCCCTGCAACATGACAAAAACATCCTTCTACCTCCTACAACCAGTTTTTGCTTACCAATGCATATTCAAATACCCTACGCATTTTGAGCATATATATTTACTCAATAAAATAATAATCAATGTCGGTAAGGTTATAACAGAAATTAAAATTATATTAGTGTAATAAAGTGAATTAATAACTTATTCAGTTTAATGTATTCCTTGTACAATAATAAGACAATTCTAAAGTTACCATTTTTCACTTTTTCCTTTTCCATTTCTGGACAAACTTTTTTTTTTTTTTTGAAAATTTTTGTTTAAATTTTAGTAATGAGATATTCTATTAACTATTTATTGTTCTTAACTTACTCATTGTAAAATATTTTCTAACATTTTAGTAATTTTAGTAATAATAATAAAAACAAGAATAACGATTATGCCAATTTTTTTTTTTTTTTGGATACATTAGATTTTACAATTTACACTAGACTAATCCTAAGCCACCAGAACCCAATCAACTCTTATCGTTGACTTTGTGCACAAGGGGTTCATCTCCACATTTCAATTTATATTTTTAGTTGAGACGAAACAAATCATTCAATTACATACGCAAAATAAAGAAAATAATAATAAAAAATTAACTTAAAATAAATCCGATTGAGATTCAATTGGATTAATCCTATTTGTTAAGATATCAATATTAATGCAAAGAAAGAAAAAAAGCGTTCAAAATGCTTCAATCAAAATAGGTATTTCAAATAGTTATTTGTCAAGAACGATGGTGTTATTTAGTGTCCAAAATTTCAAAAATCACCTCATCATATCAGACACCATGCAACTAGTATAATGAGTGGTTTTTGGCATCGCCAAATAGTGACCTTGTAACTTTGGGTGGCCTGTTATTTCTTGAAAAGATGTGGCCTAAACATCGCGGTAGCGGATAGAATAAATTTATAAAATACTTTTTAGTGATATAATCAATCAGTTCTAGTACAGTCAGGTTTTTCAGTGCGGTCACTCAGTATTAGGTACGCATAAATACACTATAAAATATTCAGAAATGTATCATTAGATGTGGCGAGGTATGGTGCATTTGTCATTTTCGAACACTGTATGATGCATTTATGCATATCTGATGCTGAATCTGTAGTTCTGCACCGGCTGCGCGAGAAGTACTGTCCGCATTTGAACTAGTATTTATATATTAATTTATTTATTGATGATATAAAATTAAGTCTTTTAATTATTATGAATGTGTCGGAGAGTTTTGAGCAGTCGCGATACACGTAGCTGCCACGTAGCGGCAGTGGCAGACTCATCCGGCTAGCTGTATCCGATTCAGAATTGCCATGCCATGCTGACTGGAATTGGATTGCGATTTCGGCACCGCGCGTTATTGTCCAACTTGTTGCTTATATATATATGGACTTATCCCGGCCCGAGGGTGATTTCGTCTTTTTGACAATTCATTCCAAACTCATCTGCAATTTTTATAGTCCACAAGCAATGCATTTTTATTTCTAAATGTCATATATAATAATTTAACAGTTTAAAAATAAATGTTCTAATCGATCTTTTACGACGCCTAATTATGCAAATTCAAAAATGTGTGGCTATATCACATCAAATCAGTGCTCATACAGCGTAGGAGCATAGTTTTGGTCATACCAACAAGTAGATATGTTTGCCAGCCAGTTGGTGTAGTTTTTGTATCATGCAAATGAAGAAGTATGAAATGAAATGAATACTAAAGTTGAATTTAATTGTCAATCATTACGTGTGCGTGCATGTAAAATCAATTCAAATCGCCTCTTCTGCTGGAATCATCTGGATATTTGATTCTTCAATTTGTAGGGCCAATAAATCAATAATTGCACCACACCATCAGGTTCGGTAGCTAATAGTAGTGAATATACAATTTTATTTATTTATATACTGTCACTAAATTTTTAAGAAACAATGTGTTGGACTTGACTCATCAACTGTTACTAAAGAAACGTTTGATTCACTACTTTTAAATTTTTTAATTATAATCAGATGTTACAGCGATTGGTTTTCAATTTTTTTTTTTTTTTGAAAAATAAATAATTAAGTTCTAGAAAGAGTGATTGATGAGTATGTAAAACCTAATTCTCATATTTAAATAGCCACAAATTTAATTATTATCAAAACTTTCTTGATTATTAAATTTAGTTATGTCGAAGCATAATATTTTTGTACACACCTGCATATAATTTGCCACAAATTCTCTATTTAATTACTCAAAATAATAATATGTATAATGAGAGTCCAACCCTCTTATTTTTTTACAAAATAGTCAGTCTACTAATTCTTTTAAAATTCGTCTTGATTACTAATTTTCATGTTTGGACCAAATACAAATCATACCTAAATGGCCATCAATTTGTTTGGGCACGAGAGTCACGTGACCTATAAAGTCAAGTTAGGAATAGTTAGTCCAGTTTGGCTTGTAAAGCAGACCATGTTCTTCTTCCAAAAAGTGGCAAAGAGAAACACTTCTACTTCAACATATAACAAAAGTTTTCATTTGTTTTCAGAAAAAAAACAAAAGTTTTCATTTAATTAAATACGTTCTCTTAATTCAACTATACTCGGCTTTTGATTACAGTGGTCAACATTCTTCTTCACGATAATTCAACAATTGAGTCACTTTATTGATTTAATAATCACAAAGTTATAAATTCAACCCACAATAAAAATCGTCTTTCAATCTTATTGGTTTAAATTAATTTTTTCCCTAAAAATAATGATCGGGTAAGTAAAATATGACTTTTATAATAGAAGGTAACGGATTTGATTTGTACCAATATAAGATTCTACATATCCTTAGCTAGTGGTTTTATTTATTTTAAATTTAAGCTTAAAGAGAAACTCATTTTGATAGGAACAAAAAGGGTGAAATCTTGAAACAGAAAGTGTAATGCAAGCCAAGCACTTCTCCCAGAAAGTGGTGAAGAGAATGGAATATTAGAGTAAAAAAGAGAGATTAGACAAAAGAAAAAGCATACAAGACAAATAACACGCAAGTAATGTTCATTCACATTTTTTTACTTTCCAACTTTCATTAAAATGGTCATACTCCATCCTTACTTGTTGAGTCGGATCGGATTAATATGCAAATATATTACATTTTCTCATATAAGTAATAAATATTATATTTCTGTTTTTTTTTTTTTTGTTTGAAAACTATTTTATTTCTGATTTTTATTACATTTGTTAGTATAAATATTACATTTCACCTTGATCCGAATGTCTTGCAGACAAGGATCTGTGAGACGGTCTAACACAAGTTATTGCTCCTGTTTGGTAACATAGTTAACTTATCAGTCAATTTTAACTTATTTGACCACTATTAGCTGTTTGACTTGATTAAACAATCAATATGAGTGTTTGATTAATTAGCTTTATTGTAACAACTTATTACTCCAAAATGCTAAAATTCAAAAAGCTGTTCAAAACAGTTTTTTTCGATCAACTTCAGCTAATTTACCAAATTTTTTCTACAATTAAATAATACTATCAACTAGTTAAATCCACTAACCCAATCAGTTAACAACTGATTACCAAACACCAATTTTTTTGCCTCTTTAAAAAGCCAGGAAAATGGGGACAAAGGTTTTTATTTTTCTATTTTTCATTTTGATTTTCAATATTT